AGTCTGGGATAGTTTGTTATAGTATATGATTCAGTAATAGATAGAAATTTTATTTTTACTATAAATCTAGCATGTCAGACTGGCTGTTGATTGGCAGTTATATCAAATTCAATAGCAGGCAGATATTCATGTAGTTCATTTGATACGGCATTAAGGGAAAAAATCCAATATTTAAATACTTGCAATAAAACATAAATGGTTAATGGGGCCAGAGCTGCCTCTGGCCTATCCCTCTTTGTTTCTCAAAGCTTTTCTTCACCTTATCCTTTCCATTTGAGATCCTTGGCAAAACTATACCTGCTGTGCCATTCATCCTTCAATGTAACACAGTCATTTTTTGACATTCTTTTTAGTACTGTTGCTGTGAAATCAACAGAAAAATGAAGCAGTTTTTGCAAAGATTTGCCAACAAAAGAATGCCTAATGTGTTCCCAAAATAAAGCTATTAATATTACACTCTAGATTTACTAGAAGACTCTGAACAACTCAGGAAGAACAGACAACCACTAACAAAGTACTATCAGTCTAGTTGGAAAGAAACTTGACTGGGTGTAACACTTGGAACAAATATATATGCTTGCAGAAATTCTAGGACATAATGTTTGCTCAGTGCTGACATGATTTCACAGGTTGGGAGAGGGTGTGCCTTTGCACCTTGTACACTCCTTCCCACAAGAGCTGATCATGTTTTCTCAGCCATGCTTACATGCTCCAAAATTAGACTCCAAAATCCCACAGCTAATATAAAATACTTACTGTGTTCATTAGAGAGTATATGCATGGGGAAACCCAAAGAAATTTACTTTGCCTCTTTCATTAACCAATTTCTTCTTAGGTGAAATAATCCTTCTGTTAGATACCTTACTTTGTATTCAATAAAAATGAGTAGACAGATTTTTTTGTTATCTTCAATATTTTGCTTTCTAGTAAATCAGATATATAGTCAGTCTCATACCAGAGGATTTATGAACCAGCATTCAGGAAAGGGGTAAGGAGAAAATATGCATTTTGCTGTGTATTTCCAAAAAGATATTGCTGCTGTTACCCTGACAGAATGGGTAGATCTTTAGCTTTAAGTAACTTGTGCTATTTAGAAATCTGTACAAAAGAATCATAGAATGGTTTGGGCTGGAAGAGAACTTAAAGATCATCTAGTTCCAAAGAAAGAAAGAATGACATATGTCATCAATCAGTGTTCCAGAAATAGGCTGTTGCAACATTCATCCATTAAGTCATTTCCTTGAAAAGTAAAAGGATCCCAAATGAAAAAAATCTAGACATTAAATTTCATGTGCTGTCTTTTGAAGTGGGGAGGAAAAGAATTTCTAAGGTATGCCAAAGCATAAAAAATTTGCTAAGATTTGTGAATACATGTGAAAACAGTGATAACAACGCAGGCTAAAATGGAAAATGAAGAATGAACAAAAAAAACCCCTTATTATAAAATGATTCAATTTTACAATCTTTATTCATGGTCAAATAACTCCTTTTTACACAAACAAGTTGAATAATTTACTGGTTTCTTTCAAATAGATGAAGCTAAAATTTGTCTCTTTTTATTTTTTGATTGTATATAGTGTGATAAGTTTTGGGGGCCAATAACTCTGTTATACACACTGGATAACAAACTTGAACTTTTACATAAAGGCAGATGAAGCATGAATATTGCACTTGACACCCAAGTCTTGTATCCCAGGCTCATTACCCACTAGTTACATTACAAAACAAACTTGAATGCAATCTGGACATTTACAATACAAATTATCATGCACCTTTTATTAATAAAATGAAGAATTATCCATTTAACATACATTACTGAAATTACTATTCTATACGGTGTATGAGATATACAAACACCATAAAATTACTGATGATTGTTCTTTTATTCAATTTAATTCATTAATGAATAGAAGTATTACTATTAAAAAAATGTTTTGGCCAATCTCAAGGTCCAGCCTCAGGTCAAAACAGTGTTTGTGAAAACAACAGAAAGATTTTTTCATCCCACTTACAACACACAAACTCACTTATAGCTTGGTAGAGGAAAAAAATTTAGAAAGAGAAAAATATGAACTTTGATAAAAATTCTACAAGATGAAAATGATATAGTTAAAAAAAAGGGATGAACACCACACTTGTTTCGAGGGTGAATGCCAAGTGAGATCTTCAAAGTTCTTGAAATGTGGGAGTTTAGTCAAAACCGTTAATGCTGTTAAAGGATGGCTCATATGTATGAGTCGAGTTGATATCCCTCAATAATAGAAACCTTCCTCACCAAGTCCTTCTATTTTCTCTCTTCTGATGAATTCTTAATTGTTTGAGTGATTTCCATCCAGACAATTTGGAAGGTGCACAGAAAATTTATGGTACAGTCAGTCACAGCAGGGAAACTGCAAATCATTCTGCCTGGCTCCTGTACATCTTTGATAGTTTGGAGAGAGATTGTTAGGAGGAGCAATTGGACTGTAAATATAACAACTTAGATCTCTGATGATGATCAGAAGACACAAGTGATGGGAAGAGGGTGAGAAGGTTTGTGAAATGAGATCTTCTGTAGGAACAGGGAATGTAGAGCACCAAGCATTTGATATGAAATGCAAACACCACTTTGTCATTAACTTTTGAAGGCTGACATATGTTGGAATATTGAAATGGGCAGCCTACAGGAGAGGCTTTCAGCCCTAATAGTGAGAAGCAAAATCAGATCTCAGAAACAGAACTTAAAAGGCATTTAATAAACAGTATAGATTTTTATTACTTGAAAAGTAATAAAAATATTTTAATTTCTTTCAGAGAAAGTTTATGATTTGATATTTCTACGTGAGAAATAAAAGAGTAACAGATAACCTACATGGGTAAAATCCAGATTTCCCTAGTCCCTTAGGCAACCCTCCCCCAAGTGGAATCTGAGCAGATTCAGGGGCCAGCTTTGCATGCCATGAGTTTACCCATGTGCCAGGAAAACAGGATTTGGTCCCACGTGTAACTTGTACTGACATCTGTGGGAGTCCAGTGGTTGGAAGGACCACAGATGTGAGCCCTTATCTGTGCAGTTTCCACTGTGAGATATGCAGGAATACCAGAACACAGATGTGAATCTGTTCCAGTTTAGTCACAGCCATCATTTCCATCACACTGCTGTAATTTTGGTGGTTCTAGTATCACCTTCTTTCCAAAGGCATCTGATACTATTTCTTTTTGCACAGATATATGTATATAGGTTCTAATGCACTAATAGACAATATTAACCAGTTTGTTTAAACAAAACAATCTTTGTAAACCAAAACTAATAGTTTCACTGAAACTAGATTCACATCTGTAGCCATTGACTCCAGTAGGCTTTGGATCAGGCCCTAAAACAGGCATGGGTCAGAGCTAGCTAATATACCAGTCTCAATTCCAGAAATTGTGGAGGATATGGAGACTGAAGTTGCACAGACTTGGTAAATATTTATAACAAAATGGACATCAACTTTTTCAGATCAAATACATTCAGATCTATACTTTTTTGGATCAAACTCCCTATTTACCTTAGGGAATTAATGTGATCATTTATAACAGTGCCAAAGTACCTTTGATTTCTAAGTCTTCATTTCTAAGTACCTTCATATACACATTTTGACCATCAGTGTCAGAGTGGCAAAAAATGCAGCTGAAAAGTGATGTTAAAAAATAAAGTTCATTATTGTTACCTTAAAGTACTCCAATGTTGTACTTTTTCTTAGCCAGCATGTTAGTTGCTTTTATACTTTCTTTATCCAGATCTGTGCATGCTAACAGATTACAATTAAAAATTGCAGATCATTTGTTATTAGCTAAAATGGAGATTTAAAAGTCCTCATTAACATAATGGAAATGAATATTAAGTGAAATCCATAGATATTTTTGTTGTTTAGTTTGAGGGGAAAAAAACCAAACCAAGCCTAAAACCAAACAACTTAGCCCAAAAGTACTGAATATGTTATTGTGCACAAGAATAAGCAGTTTGGCTGTTGGGCATTGAAAGAACCTCACAACTATGGACATATCACAAAAAAGTACTGTCTTTGTGTGTGGTAATAAACCTTTTGTGTGAATATTTCTGCATGAAAAGGGCTCCTGAGCCACTTTGTGTGATGGCCCAGCATGTGAGGTGTATTGTGAGCACCCAAATAATTTACAGGATATAAATGGTGAAATGGAGTTCTGCTAATCCTCTGGTTTAAAACTGTGTCAACTGGAGTCTCTAATTTACAAATATTTATCTTTTTCTCTATATCCTTTTTACTAGATTTAAAAGGAAAAAAAAAGCAGTCTGGAGCAGAAAACAACTGCAAGTGAATAAGGCTTGATTGGCTTGATTTAACCTTCCCTGAGATAATCCAGGGCTAGGTCCTTACAGAACATCAAAGAGCAACAAGGAAAAGAAAGAGAGAAATGGGACAAGAAAGAAGAATTAGAGAAGAAATGTTTCTGTATAACTTACATTTACAGAAGACAGGTAATATCACTACTTTTTTTTTCTGGTTTTTCTGGAGAAACTATTCAGTCACACAGGTGATATCCTCAGTAGTTTAAACTGCATTCATGAAAAAACAATGATTTCTAAATTTAAACCAGCCCACAAAATAGACAGGTACAAATACATTCCTATACACTAATTTATGAGGTTGTGTGTATGAACAAAGCAGTATAAAGTTCACTGTATATATCTAATTTAACAAAAAATAAGCTTACATGATAATTTAGAATCCTCAATATTAAAGACAAAATTAAAATTATTTTTATGCCATTTTTTAAGACGGGGGCTGTAACAATAAAGGGTCATTTAAAAAAATACTTCTATTAACCCTTACTGCTAATATGTTATCTTTATTTGTCCCAACACAAGATATATATTTTCTAACAGAATGATTATACCACTACAACTTGTAAAAAAATATCCCATAATCAGCTGAGAACAAACAAGTTTAGATTTAGATTTCCTGACAGTAAAACTTAAGTTTGTAGTGCTGGAGGTGCTAATAGAAGTCTGCAGCCATGGGTCTTTTATGCATATCTTGATTCTTGTAAGTCACATTTTTAAAAGTGGTTGTTGAGCCTCTGTACAGTGGATTTGTTTCCTAAAGAACAAAAAACAAAAACAAACAAACAAAAACCCAAACAAAAACAGATTAAATGGGAGTCACACAATGTTTGTATAGAAGTAATGTATCTTTGAGGATTTTAGAATAGCTTTTGGTAGCTCACTTGTGTTCCAAGCCACTGAAATCCAGACTGATCTGAATTCAGGCAGCACAAAGCAGCCTGGGCTCAGCAACATGCTTCCCTTCACATCAGTCTCACAGATTAAAGTAATGCACATCATCAAACAATACCTCATCAAATGTGTCCCATAACATTTGTGTATCAAAGCTGGCAGATAGACCTTTATAAAACCATAGAGAGTGTCTCAGCAGTTGGACATTTCTTGTCATGGTGCTCTTGTCACATACAATACCTACTGTGTGCTGGGAGAAGGGCAAGTCTCACCTGAGCTTTCCATCCTGGCCTCTCACCAGTCACTCCTTATCCTTTCCTCTTGTGACAGAAAAAAAAAAGAAAATGCTTCTACCAACTGTATCCTTCCCTTCTTACCATACCCAGCTCTCCTGAAGGATCAAAAAAACATTCTCAGGTGGCCTTGCCTGTAAGTTAGGGATTTGTCCCAGGTCAAAAGCTGAAAGGCTGACAGTGCCCATTCTTGGAAAAAGTTGCAATCGCAGGACTTTGTAGGAGAGTGGAGCTGTGTGAGCACATTTTCTGCTTGCTCGACATGCTTTTTTTGAAAATATCCTCAGAAGCCCTAAAGCTTTTGCAAAAGAGCAAGAAAGTCAAGGGCAGAAAGGAAAGAAGAAAAGGGAACATGTGGTGCAAGCTTACATTAGGAGCCCAGAGCTATAGATAGAAAACAAGGCCTGGATTTCTCTGTCCTTTCCCCTGCATTTGGGACAGTTCCATTCACTTCTGCTTGGTGGGAGTGGGCTTGGATCATGACAGAGGCCAGGAACAACCTCCCTTTCCTAAACAGCTCTAAACAGGCAGAGGGCTACACCCTGGATAATCATACAGGCAGACAACAGCATGGTTAGAATTAATGGAAGACTGGCTACTAACTAAAAACTATTGATAAAAAACCAGTTGTCTACACATTCTTACATGTGGAAGAAATTAAACTAGGAGATGAAACACTAGATTATTTTCATCTATTAAAGAATCATAATTTTACTTTATAGAATAGTAAATGTGGCAAAAACCTACCAGCAAAATCTATCCATTTAAAAGAACAAAATCAAGATCTGGAATTTTAAAGGCATCATGTAACCAAACTAAAGAACCTTTATAAAATCAATGTATTTCACATACCGTTTGCCATTTAACTTTTGATTTTTCTGCTTCAAACTTGGCCACCTCTTTTCGGTCTTGAAGTGACACCAGTAATTTCCATATGCAAAGTAAAACAATGCCAATGAGAAGGATAGCAAGGGTGACACCCACCACTATCATTGGGATATTTGGATGCTGTGCACAATCTGTGGAAACAAAACCAGTTATGTCTGTGGATAACCAATCAATAAACTTTAGGCAATTAAAAACAGTCAAGAGATGTGCTGAGATTCTCATTTGCCATAAGCTGGGCACACTTTTTTCTTCAAGTTCATGTTATTTTTCTCCTGCTAGCTTCCTAAAGGGTTTGTGAAACCAGCTGAAAAATATTGCATTAAAATGATTTAAAATTATTTGTTAACTTCTTCCACTGCTCTTTTACCGTGACAATTAGCAACTGCTGGATACAGACACAGACTCTGAAGAGAAAACTCAGAAAATTGATTTCAGATCTGTTTCAATATAATTATAAAAAAACAGGGCTGAGTTTACAAAATTATGAATTTTACTATGTTATGGCTGGAGCTCTATTTCAATTAACTGATATTCAGTGGGTTGCAGAAGAAAAGATTCTAGTTAGATCTATGTCAGTGTAAAGTGACCAAAGATATTGCTAAAACAGAGGAAACTGCATTTCTCTCATGAAAACAATGAGGAAAAAATTCCTTGACATTTGTTGAAAATATTGGACTGTGGACTTGGAAGGAATTTTGCATTTCAAGTTCTGCAATAAATTTTACAATAAAATATTTCAGAGAGTCAGACTTAAAACTGAAATTTTTGCTTCACCAAAACCCAAAGAAGTTTTGATTATTTTAATATTAAAAAGTACTGTCTATGAAAGTTACTGAACACTACTATTTTACAAAATTTTCTTCTGAACCATGGTTTCAGAACATTAAAAAATTCATTTCAGTCTGGCTTGTTTTACAGGATTGCATTTCATATTCAGTTTTTGCTTGATGGCCTCAGTTAACTAATTCTGAGGGGCTCTGTTTTGAGCCCTGGGCTGGTGTTCTGGCTACTGGTGCCATATTGACTTCAGTTCCATGAATGAAATTGTATTTGTAGAGAATTTCTTGAGGTCTCATCCCAGTTCACATTTTAAGGTCCAGGAGCAGAGCAGCAGATTCTGTGAAACTGATTATTGTAGTGTTGTGGGAGGGTCATTACACAGAGGTCAATGAACTCTCTGAGGTCAGTGGAAATAAGATATTAATTCTTCTTTTTTTTTTTTTTTTGGCCAATCTACTTAAAATACATAATAAAGTATTTAATAAAGATAAAATCTTACCTTTAAATACTTGAATCTTAGGGATTAAGGGATGTAGTTTAAGAGGTGTGTTTCTATAGTACTACCCTTGTTACAAGCACCTTTGTATATCTAATTTCAAAGTGATTTATAGTTTTATCACATAATGCAAATAATGTTTGGTATCATCTTCTTAGAACTGCACAAGCTGTTGAAAAAATTAACTTATTCTTACAGCCCAAGGATCATTCTGCCCATTTTTCATGAAAGGCCAAGTATTTATGTCACTACTGCATTAAATAAGTACTTGAGGAGATCTTTGGCTGGGCAGAGAAGAACTAGAAACACAAGGAGGAGATGTGCTGCTTTAAAGAGCTCTGCTTCTAGATTGCTAACCTTGTCTGTGGTTTTAAATCAGATTTCACCTACAAAAACCAATATTCACTGCTTACCTTTCCTTTCTATGTTGTGAATGACTGTCCTTCCCTGTTCATCCACAGCCAGTAGAAATGTGGTTATACATTCATTTTCCCCCTGCAAAGAGCAGGAAATGGATTTATCCTCTGAATAATCTGCAGAGGGAAGGAAGAAAGTAATTCATCAAATCAAATGCAATTTAACCTTTAATAACCAGAGAAACTGCTGGCATCACGTTTGTCACAGCCTTGTCTGCAGATGGTAAAGAGTGAAAGACAAAAACAAAAATACTGTCAGAATTTCTACTAAATGTAATGGCTTTTCTTCCAATCCCAATTTTGTTTAGTTTCTGATTTTTCACTTATATTTCCAAAGAACCGATCCAGATGTTGTCAATCTGCACTGACCATCTAGTGCACCTTGTAACTTTAGTGTACTGTGAATTTCAATGAATTGGAAGTGCTCCCAAAACTCTTAACTGGCAGCTGTCTAGGAAATGTAATAGCCCCAAATGATGGGGCAAAGTAACCAGTGGAACAAAGTATGTTCCTTTGGTGTGCAGCTACTCCTGCCACCTGTAGATCACGTTTCAGGAGTAGATATACATACATCAAGCAGCTGTGGGTGCTGTTAAAAGGGCTGCCATTCATTTCCTACACACTAGGCCCCTCAAAGGTCACTGTGTCCAGTACTGCTACAAGAATAACAGTAAATAAAGATTAATAATAGGATAATAACAGAAATTAATAACAGAAAACAAAGGATTAATAACATAAAACTGCCAATCTGAGATTTTTGTAACAGGATTCCGGATGAAGCAGATAAAGTGACCTGAGATGACAGTCTGACCCCATTTATTTATCCCTCCATTTACTGTTGATTGCAGAAAAATTTAATCCATTTTTTCCTCCCAGGTTATTCCTAACTGGGGAGCTGAGAAAAATTTATTCAAAGGGAACAGAGAGACAGAAGGAACTGACTTTGAGGGACAATACAAAGCAAATAAGCAATCAGAAAGTGAGAGTACAAGTGCGGAGCTGGAAATATCATCATATGGAGTGTAACTATAATATAATATTTTACAGAGGAAAATATACTTTATACCTGTGTGGAATAATACCTCTGGGGCTGAATGTTTATGTTTTCATATAGTTCATGATTTGAGATGTCACTGGAAATCTAGGTATGATTTTCAATATATTTTAGTCAACCTTCATAGGATTTATTTTTAGAAGAAAGAAAAAGAGTAGGCTTCTCAAATATTTCTTTAAAATGATTGTCATTACCATTATTTTCTACCCATTCAAAACTCTTAATGAAATTTCATAAGCAATTGTGCTAAAAATCTTAAAGTCCTCAAACTTTAATATGAAGAGCAATTGAATAGAAATCAGACAAGAGTAGAGCCTTTTAAAGAAATCTACGCTACATTTAAAAAAATGCTTGCTCTATTCTTTTCTTCCCCATACTGCTTAATAAGATTTGGTCTTATAGAAAATACTATTAAACACCGTAGAAAAGATGGAGCTATTGACTACCCTCCAGTCCTTTCCTCTGCTTGTTATAAAAAGAGAACCCTAGCTGGCTGGATTTTGATTTGAGCCTTGTGTTTAACCTGTTGCTGGCCCTTGGTGGCAGCACCTTTTGTTATCCACCAAGGGGACAGGCAGCCTAGACCTGCTGATTTAACAAGATCTGATTTTGTTAGAAGGGCCATGAACTGCAAACTTATGGCTCTTGTTGGCACGTCACAGTTCCAGTAACACTGACAAAAGTTTTGCAATGTTTGTACTTTCCCAACTCTTTTAAGCAAGCAGACTCAAAATACTAACTTGCTTACCAAGAGGAAAAAAAAGGATAAGGATAGTCGTTAGCTATCCTGAAAATGGAGAACAACTTGCAAGCATATACCAAATATCATCTAGAAGGCAGTAACTGCACATAGATTAGTTATTTTTACATGGTAATTTTTTGTTTAATGTCATAATTTGAAAGCAAGGGGAGCAGAATACTGATTATGTGCAATGATGTAGAAATGAAAGCGAAAATGCCAGTTCAAGCTATTCAAAATCCAGCTTATGGTTAGCATTTTTATTTCTCTAATATTATTTTTAGAATGAGGGATCACTAAAGAGAGACCATTGCATATGTTCTTTGCAGTTCATCAGCATAAAAATTTGCCTACGTAGGTAAATTCCTGTAATTTACATCTGTGTAATCTTCTACATTCTGCAGTGAATTTTCACACTCTTCTGCAGCCTAATTCTGGCAATTTAAATTGTATTTGAAATAACTGGAGTCACACTGGAAGAGAAATCAGGTAACAGTGGCAAGCAGGAGACTCAAAGCATTAAATACTCTTTCATAGCAGATACATTTATAAAAGATTTAACAACAAAAATGTTGACTGTAAATTTAAATGTCATTATGCCCTTTTGTGTTTACCTTTTGCTCAACAAAATGCTTTTTTTGAGCAGAGTTCACCTCACCCTGACTCATAACAGAGCTATGCTGACAGAGAGGCTTATTCAGCCTCCAGTAACCACTTTGCTGCTGCACTGGGAATTTGTGAGGTGTCAGCACTATGGGGTAGGAAAAACTCAGGTTCTCCAAGGAAAGTATAACTGTCCCTGCTGGGCTTGTGGCAGGAGCAGCCTGGTGCCCTGTGGCTGGGGTGCTGGCAGGAGATGCCTTTTAGGAATTTTGGTTCCTCTTGCCTGGTGAGTAGAGCAACAAGAACTCCTACACCTATGTGGCAAATGGGTGATTAGCCTAATTTAAGTGTTCAAGTATTAAAAGTGAATAAAAATAGAAGTTTGAAAGTGGTGCCTGCTGTGGAGATAAGCCCAGCAGATGTGGAGCCATCAGCACCTACAGAGCTGCTGGACACCCCAAGTCCTGGCAGATCCCTGGGCTGACCTCGTCTGCTGGTGGGGAGCAGGAGAAGAAACCCCTGGCAAACCCAGAACCAAAGCAGAGAGGTGAAAGGCACAACTCAGAGCCTAAAATGGGCACTCCCAGGAAACAGGAAAACGTAAAGCCCACGCTTTTTTGTTGCTTCACACTTCCAGTCATTGTATTGCAACATCCATGTACAAATAGAAACAAAATTTTTGAAGTGCTAGTGTTTTATTTAACCTAGAGCTTTTACTTTTTTCTTTCCCCAAAAGCCTTGAAGCATTAAAGAAACTAAAACATAAACCAGAAAGAGGTATACTACCCCATGAAGTTGCTCAATAATATGTCTTAAATATTATGTGGTGTGCTACTTATACCACTTTCAGATTGGTGGGTTTTGTTCAGATAATAGTTATTATTCTATTATTGTATTTTAGCTATTATATTAAAGGTTAATTTTTTTCTTTCAGGACTTCTTGGTGAGGCTACCCAAGCATTTCAGATGAAACAGTTTGCAACAGCTGCTTCTTTTCTTTTCTTTTTTTTTTTTTTTTGAGGCATCTGGATGGGAACATGAAGGTTGCAGTAACTGCTGTAAATAAATTTTAAATCTAAAGAAGTATCTGACAGTCCCATGCAGGGAAGCACAGGATATGAAAAAAAGGAAATATGCAGGAATAAGAGATGATATTGCCATGTTTGTATTCCAGTGACCTCTGTATGTGAACAGAACCATATAAAAGGCCATTTTTGCTCTTGATTAGCATTCATTATATTTAAAAGTATAATGTTTTTTATATTCCTAGCTACAAATATCTTCCATCTTATAAAGGATGAAAACTTTACTAACTGAAGACATAAAATACAAGTGCTTATATGTCTTTTAAGCCTGTAAAGCTAGTTTTATATTTATAAATATATACTGAAGTATTGCCATCAAAAACAAAAGGTGTACCTTTGCTGGAAGGATGTACACAGTGACATTTCTGCATGCACACAGCTCTGGATGGGTTTCCAAGAGCTTGCAGATACAAACCTTCGACATGCACACATGAATGAATGAGGATTCATCTTCATTCTTACATTTGTCTTGTTTAATGCTTATGGTACATCTGTGATGTGGATATAACTAGCCTATGTCCTGCCTTACTTAACAATTGCTTGTGCCATAGGGTTGGGAGTAGAATTGCAGTAGAATAAATACAGGCTGCCTGCTGAGCAGGCACCTCGCTTTACAGAAAAAAAATTGCCCTTTTTTTAAAGGTTTGTTTTGGTTCTTTTTGATTATGGTGGGGTTTGTTGGGTTTTTTCCTGATAGTACTATTTTACTCAAGATTAATTCCTATTCCAGAAATTTCCATTGATGAAAGGCACTTTTGAATTAAAGCAAACAGCTGAGAGATGTTCTTAGCCTTTCAGAACACAAGAAATGTCTTTGCCACTGGTTAAAGGCTGTGTTTAGTCACCAGCTGTAACCAAGAATCTGCCTAAAGACAGGAGTCAGGTTTTGTATTTGTAAGGCTGAAGAAGCCCTGCTGGAACTCATGGTACAGGCATAACTTGAACTCAGGAGCTTTAATATATCACTGATTTGCAGGGATTGGTATCTATTCAATTCTATACTTTCCTGCATAAACTACTTAGAAAACAGGCATGATCTAACAAGTTAATTACCTGGAAGGCTTATACCAGCCAAGTTCTGCATTTTCTTCTTGCCTCAGAAGAGCCATAGACACACAGTAATTCCCTTATGACCCAGAATATAATTCCACAGCAGAAAAACAAGGCTACTTTCAAATATAAAATTACTGAAAGTGGAACCTCCTGCTAATCACCCACACACACACAGGAGAGGAAGATTGAGTATACCAACCCTTTTCAATGCTGACAGTTGCATCAACCAATTTGCATTTTTCACTGCAATCTCCCAGTGACTTGTCATCAGCAGCCAAGTGACATTCCACACAGCTCCTGTGGAAAATAATTCAGCAGCTCATCAATCTCTGCCTGCCACAAAGCAACAATACAAAAGCCAGCATCTGTGCATCTGCATTTTAAAAAGCAGCTAAATAAAAGGTCTTCTGCTATGGATACAGTTCTCAGGAATATGATAGGTACTGCCACCAAAAAAAATCCTAACAAAACCAAAGAAAAAAACTTGCACCTGAATAAAGGTACTGTGGATAAGCTCTGTCTTGTCCTCTATTCTCTCCCAGTTTGTTAGCTACCAGACAGAACCCCAGGCAACATTATTCATGTAGGTCTATCAGACATGGGATTACTCACATGCAACGTTCCTCTTCAAAAATTAAAAAAATAAATAAATATTCTGAACAGCAAATATTCTCACACTAAATACCAGCTGAAGGAATTCCTATCAGATGAACAATATCTGAAATTGACTTCAAAGAGATCAAGCTGAGGCACCTACTATGAGTTTGCCTTTGTTGCAAGTCTATTGAATAATGCATTAAAACACTTTCCAGGTGTCTCAACAGTTGTCTCTTGAATATGGTTGCTTGTCTCAGGAATTACTTAGATCCTATTTATACTAATGAAACTTGCAGGAAAATTATTTTTTATTCAGTGGTGGAATGAGTGAAATACTATTTAAAAACAGAATCTATACAAATTCCTTTAGAAATCTTCCTGTAAATTCAATGAGGATTTTAATAAAACCAGGGTTTACAAATGGAAAATAAAACAACAAACAGAATTCATATATGAATATTTCTGATGGAAAACATGTTTGCTAATTTTTCACAAATAGCTTCAGCCATATTGAGTGGCTGAGACTCTGAGAAGCAGCCTGAAGGACTGACTTCATTAGGGAAAGAAAGGAGAGGAGAAGAGGGGAGAGAAGAGGAGTGGAAAAAGGAAAGGAAAAAGGAAAAAGGAGAACTGCAACAAAACATAAAAAAACCCCTGGCTATCTCCTGTTGTATTGAGTTACATACATCCATGGGAATAAGCTGAGGCTGCTGAGTTGATCTTCGGGGGTGGAGGTGACCTTATCCCTTGCTCTGGAAATGGTGAATAGTAAAAGTGAGTGGGTAATGGGATAGCCTCTATCTCATGGAGATAAATTCAGTATTGGTGGTGGTTTTGTCATATTCACCATGATTCTCATGCTACACTCTCTTTCTCAGCTGCCTTGCCATTGATCTCCACCCCCTCTGACCTGGTCTTTCAGCTCTCTCAGTTACCCTCCCAGGTATTCCCAGTGTTCTCTCTCTCTTGGCTTTTTGTGCCCTGCGTTTCAGCATGGGAAGACACTGAAACAGAAAGAAAAGATCCAACACTTCATACAATATACATGTTTAAACGGGTTAATGTAATGCCTATCATGTAACTTTATATTTCTTATTCTTTGCCAAATTGGGCAGAGCAAAGCAGCAGCATTGTCCTTTTTGTTTAAAGCAGTTGCATGCAGAAATTCTCTTTGAACATGCTGAGAGGCTCAGTTTTCTAAGGGCAAATTTAGCACTAACAGAAAGAGATCAATGAATTAATCACATCATAGAATAGCTTTTCACTCAGATACACTGTAGACTCCAGTGACAGGTATGAAAATACAGGTGTTGGAGAGAAATGGGTCTCAACTCTGAATAAGGAGACAGGACATCATCATGAACCATGCAACCTAAACTGCTCAGCACTCAAAAAGCAAAGCCAGGGTCATTAAAAACATATGTTCTGTGAAGTCTAATCCACCTTCTAGCTTAATTTCTGCTGAAGACTGCTCCATTTGGACTGCAGCCCTACAAGAGCTCATGTAATACAAGCATGAGCAATGGTACTTAGAGTGGTCATCTTCACAACCTGAGTATTTTTGGTTGCTTTTCCTGTCATGCACCATAACAGACACCTTGCATCACAGCAGGGAAGCTACATAAATTGCATATGCTCAGTGGACAGAAGACATTTCACCATTGACAATCAATTTCTCATCAACTTATACAAGACATACAGCTACCCATTTATTCATTCCCAAACTATTATCCAGTTTATTATATTTACACCTTTTTAATTCAGCTAAGCTTAACTGAATTTGGACTATGAATTTGGGAAGGCGCGAAGCTTGAGGGGACAACGTGACCTTACTCATTCATATTTATGAGAATGGTAATACAAATGCCAAATTTTTCTGTGAGGCCATATAAGTGTCAGATAAGGCCACCATTCTGATTAGCTGTACAGCCAGGGACAGCAGTGGAAGTGTAAAGTTTTACCTGTGCTGACTTAATTGTTTCACATAAAGTCCTTTTGTACAAGAGTAATGCTCATGAATGGTTGATGTATGAGTTGTGACTACCCATCTCAAAGGACAAAGAAGCTCTTGGGTTCTGGACTGTAAATCCAGTCTACAGACATGGCAGTAAACACACTGCTGAGGCTGTGTAGGAAACAGATACCTGGATGATATAAACATCAGAGGTTTAAAGCCACCACATTACCATCTGGAACTGCAGGGGTCACCGCAGAGAGGGCATTTTTCACACGTTTGGCCTGAAGCCCCTGGATGGGTGCAAGCACACGTCCCACAGATGCATTCGCCTCTCCCACTGCACAGTGTCCCATCCTCAGCAATGCAGGTGCTGGTATCAGTTGTGCAATTACAGTATTCACCAGTCCATCCACTGTGGCATCTGCATTCCCCACAGTCACAGTCACCATTGCCTGGAAAAACATTTATTATACTTCAAATCAGTCACTGGTATTTCAAAAAGAATCTGAAGGATGATCTTTAAAATTATTCTCTTTAACAGAAAATATTTTGCTCTCTCCAACTCTTCTTCCTAGCATCTTTCTTTCTCTCCCAAAATCTTCAGTTTTAAGCCAGAGGATCAGATTTTTGCTGATCCTGGCTGTAAGCCAGTGCAGCTCCATTCTCTTTACTGGAGCCCTCCGTGCAGATCTTGTCTCCTGACAGTGCACGACCTAATTTGTAAATACTTCCGATTTATAATGGCATAGCTGAGACTATTTTAAGTCTAAAGACCTTTCATAACCAGTAACTCTTTTAACTGAATTGACTGCAACTGAGTATATGATGAAAATACAAATTGACAAGCTACCAGCCAAGGGTGAGCCATAGAGGCCTAAGCAGGGATGCTCCCAGCAGCCGTGAGGGGCCGTACCTGCACACTGCAGGCCGCGGTGCCGGACGCATGAGAAGTCATTGCACTCGCAGCGGGGCCCGTAGACCTTTCCGTAGGGGGACGGGTGGCACAGGCACTGCCCGCAGTAGCAGTCGCCTCTGCCGCTGCAGGAGCTCAGCTCGGCTGGGCCCCGGCAGGAGCTGGCACCGAGCGAGCTCTCGTGGCACTCGCAGCGCGGCCCCACGTAGCCGGGGCTGCACACACACACCCCGCACTCCAGGGAGCCTTTCCCTTGGCTGCACTTCGGGCTCTGCTTCTCGGCCTTGGCCTGGCACTCGCAGCTGCAGAGGGGATGAATTTCCATCTCCAGCACGTCGCTGAGGCCCACAGGTTTTATCTTGATAAGCCTTCTGGTTTTTTCACAAGAAGAGAGACTAACAGTCACATTGAAAGAGACCTGGAAGAGAGAACGGGGCTGCTGGGAGCACAGGGAACTCTGCAGGGTACTCGGCAAGTGCATGCACAGGAAAGAGCAAGAGGGTCATAGATACTGCCTGCTTTTTGGTGACTTGTCTGGAGGAAGATCGTTTAAAAAAGAGCAAACTCTACCTTGGTGTCCTAAATTATATGAAGTTCATGTCTTTGGAGAATACATTCTTCACTTACTGTATCTCCCACTTTCACATGAGAGCATTTCCTCTGATGTGGAAAAAAGGTCCCATTGTTACAGATGGCCGTGAAGGAGAGATTGAGCCCTTCTGTCTCTCCCAGGATCTCCAATTCAACCTCAGACCTCAGCTCCTTCAAGGAAAAAAACGTGAGATGAATGGAGTGATAACACTGCCATGTGCTGCCACTGCTCCATGCCTGAGGAACGTGGACTGTAATTTATCCTGACCTACACAGGAGCACACTCGTGCTTTGGCACTTTGTTTACAGAACCCTCTATTGCAAGAAAAATGGGGAACGAGCAAAATAAAGCAAATGCTGACAGACCCAGTGGGAAGCAATGGTGGTATCACTTTAATATCTGCTATCACGGGGCTTATTTCCTGCCCTTCCAGGAGAACAAATTCAATGTTTTATTAAATCACCTTTCATAACTCTGCTGACTGATGCAGGTTTTAGGTCTGGACTTTCTGAGGAGTGGATTTGTGTCCCTGATTGCATTGCTAGGTCTGGGCTTTTCCTGATTAGCCAAACTGTGTCAATATTTCTCCCTCCCTTCCTTTCTTCTCACAATGGAAATTCCTGCTTCATGAGCTGTTTGTGCTATTTTAACCTGTATTCAACAACATCCCCATTATTTAAATCAATTTCTTCATCAAACTTCCATTTTGTGAGTCACAGGCTGTCTTTCTGAAATCGCTTGTACTAGGTATCTACATTTTAATTATTTTAAATGTTTTATAGCAACTTTGCTTGCACAGCCTTAATCCAAAGCCTATCACAGGCCACAGGGAAATTCCCTATGACTTCATTATTCTGTGGAGCCAGTAAGTGGAAATTTTTCAAAAGTACCTCAGCAACTGCTGAGAAAACATCTCACTGACTTGGCTTTGTGCTCATAGAAATTTAATTGCTTGCAAAATACCCCCTGCCCTTCAATCAGAGCACAGAGAACTTGCTGACCTTACTTCAGTGAGTCATTCTACTCAAGGTAGCAGGATAACTCAACGGAGTAAAGGTCTGGTGGGGTAAATCAAAGTAAAAATAGAATAGGTAAAAACCTGCATAGACAACTCCCTGTCCTGCCTACATGTTCTGGATTCCTAGGAAATTTGTCTTAGGGTTGTAAAATTGTGCCCTGGGCATCAGTTTTGTAATGCTGGTAAATTTTAATATGCCCAAATTTCCATTTCCCTTTGATTTGGAGGTAGGTGCTTTTGTCACTATTGAAACAATGCAGAATTGTCAATAATAATTTGTTTGCCATAGCTGGGCTCTCCCAAAAGGACCCAAAACAGCAAATCTCTAGGTAAAGCTATGACTGTGGGCATGTGCTTATGTTGCAGGATGTATCACCAGTACTCCCTCTTCACTAGCTGCAAAATTACAAGGTGCAGAGTGCAACAGAGAGAAAATTAAATGCTGCAGAACACCAAATTGTAATACTTTGAATTCTGGAGTCTGTATTGGGTCATTTGAATGTCCCTTGCCTTTGTGAGAGATCAAATTATTCATCTTACAGCACTGAAAGTGAACACAAACTGTGATAATTTAAGGTTTTTAGATTCTAATATATGTCAGCACTTCTAATGCTTTAAAACTACTAAGCTGTCTGGCCATAGTTTGAGGACAAATAGCAGACAGTAAATAGCAAATAGCAGCTTTAAGCCATTCATAGAGAAACATTTGTGGTTCAAAAAATTTTTTGAATGGAACAACAGACAAAGAAGTGCTAAATACTTGTGCCCTCGTGTAACCTGTCCTTTCTAATACATTATTTCTATGTTCTCATTTTTGGGTAAGTGCAGGGATTACAAACTGGGGAAAAAAGGGTAATTTTTCTGAAATTTTAAATTCTTGGAATGGCTTTAATCAAATGGCCTGCTATCTGTCACAAAGCATTTTGGCCTACAGCTCTGCAACACAAAGATGTGCAGAATTCAATGCTAAACAAAGCAGGCAGAAATATGCTTACAGAAGAAAATAAACTATACTTGGAAAGAACATGAGAATTCCTTGCAACAAATATTTTGACAGCTCAGACTTTCTTAACTTACTTCCTCTCTGAAGCTCTTATATGGCAACACATGGTGAATGGCATTAGCAAACCTTGTGTTTGCACAGCAAGTAAACACTCAAGAAGACTTTAAAAGTGTTAAAAGATTTAGCCTAACTCTACTCCCAGGGAGCAAAAAGTTATTTATTCCTTTTCTTGTGAGTGAAGAAGAGAGACACAGGACATTGAATTACACTTCTGAGAGCATAATGAAAACTTTCTAACAAAAGTAGTATTAGTTCTGTTTTGCATGTGATTTTCAACTGTAGGTCTCCTGTCATTTCCTTCTTCACAGCTGAAAAAAATTCAGATACCTTTACTCCTGTCAAATAAAGGGGTATTTAGTGCTTCCTGCTTGGAAAATTTTTCAATCACAAAACAATAAGATTATTAACCTTTAAGGTTAAGTGTAATAAAATGGACTTTGGGAAATTTTGAGTGTGACATGTTGCTGCTTGCACACTTCTTACATCATGAAAGAAATGTGGGATTTTAAGAAAGTACGTGCAGCTCTGCACCATGTCTGGTGCGTGGTCCAGACATGCTGTGCCTGGATGAGGTTGTGACAAGTTATGGCCCAAAGGCAGGAGCACCCTTCCTGCAGTCACCTCCCTGCCACTGCTGCAGGGCAGCAAGCACAGAGCTCAGAGCTCCTCCAAACCTTCCCCTGGAACAGACGGGAACAGGATCAGCCGAAACAGCTCGGGAACAGCATCACGGTCACCACTGCCAGCTCTGGGGCCTGCTCTGCTCAAAGCATGCAGCAGCTAAAATGCCAACAGAGCCAGGAGGCTGGAGACAAGGCAGAGGACATAACTGCACCTTTGTATAAACCTTAGTGTGCCCTCACTGTGTACTGCAAGCTCTTGTGGGCTTCACATCTCAGGAGGCACTCATGAGAGTCAGGGAGGGTAAACAGATGGCCAGATAAAGCTACCAAGGGGATGGAGCCGCCAAGGAGAGACTTAAAAGACTGGGACTCTAATTTGGAGAGAAGATTGGTGTGTAGAAGGTGTCTCAGTGACACAATATAATGAAATTATGAGGACACAAGATAAGGTGAATGCAGAGCTATTATTCACCGAAACCTACAACTCGGGAGCTAAGGTGGACTCAGTGATTATTTAAAGCATTAGAAGTAAGTTAAAATAGGCATAAGAAAATTGTGCCTTGGGACAGTGGAACTGAACCCCCTCTTGTCATAGAAGACAACAGAAGCCAAAAATATCAGCAGGATTAAAAAGGAGAGTAGGGAAAAAATCATAGGCCATAGGAACATAAGCAGATGCTAAGAAGAAGAGGCAAGGATTCACTCCTTACATTTTCAATATTCCAGTGAGGCAACTTATGTTACAGTAAAAGCACCAGGACACAGCACTGGGACAATTTTTTTGCGTTTTTTCCATTACTTACTGACAACAAAATGATATTTCAGCAATTAAAAGTAGGAACCTGTGTCTATACATTAGACTGCCAGCTTGAAGAAATGCTGATAGAAACCAGATGTGACTAGGAGCAGGTTGGAATCCAGAAGTGAAATGCTATTGCCACTCAAAGTTTAGCAATAACTTTGTTCATAAGAAAATTTCCTCACCTTTATTTATTAAAATTTGTATACTCCCAAGATTAACCCTGAAGTTCTCCCTTTATAATTTTTCATAAAATGGAGAAACTCCTGGTATTTTGCACTTCATTTTAAAAAGTTGTAATTCAGAAATTGTATTGCCTTCATTGCTTTTATAAGAATTAGAAGAATTTGGTTTCCTTCCTATCACTAAGACCAAAGTAATTTTGGCACAGTGATGATGATCTTATTCAGGTGATAGAAAGAAGAGCAGGAAAAAAAGTAAGGAAAGAAACAGAAGCTATTTGCAAAGGGTTATTCGTCATTGTAGACAACTGGTAGAGCAGGTTTTTAATAAAAATGGGCTGAGACGGAACAGAGTAATCTATGGAATATCAGTGTGTTTGTAAATTGATGTATCTGCGCAAAGATCTGTACAACTGCCTAAAAACATTCCTCTGACAGAAGAGAGCTTGGCACCCAGGATGCATTTTACAAACAAAGCTCTGAAGAGCAGTGCTGTGTTTATGTTCCTGACATAATTAAAGTGTTTCTTTGTATTACTTAAACAAACCCATTCAAGTCCTGGCATTACCTAAACAAACCCATGTTGGCTCCTATATTGTTCTTGAAAACCCCAGAACAGCCTCACAGAGGCAGCATCAAATTGCTAAAGCAGAGAACACTGAGCATAGAAGAGTGTTTTTTTCCCCAGATATTCCTGCAAAGCAATTGTTTGTCTGCTCTGGTGGCAACTACCAACAGGAAGAGACTTGAGTCCCCATTGAGATGTGGAACTGAGAGACCTGAATATTAAAGAAGCATTAAGAGTAGGTATAAAATACAGGAATATGAAAAAGGCAATGCAGATGACACAATGACATAAATTCAGCATTCCAGCAGAACTAAGGATTGACAGAAGGTTATAGGAATTTGTTTCTCTGGTTTCTTAATCTTCAGAGTGAACACTTTTCCTGTTAAGGTCAGCACCTAACATAAAAAATGATGTAATCATTCAGTTTCATAAAAGGAATCAAAGACATATCTTTTTACCAAACTGCAAACTAAAGTTGAATTATGTAAACATGAAGGAAGAAGCTGCATTGCACCCATCTTACCTGATATGCAGAAATGATCAGCTGGAGAATATTTCCAGAATCCTTCTGTAGTCGTCCAACAGTAGCACCAGGAATGAGCTTTGCATAATTCTGGAAATATAAAAATTAATTTAAAGCACAACAGAAGTCTAGGTGACAAGGAGCTACCATCTAAAAATAACTCCAAACCCAAAGAAAGAAAAAACAAAAAAACCCCACCCCAAAACCCCAAAAAACACAAAACAAAGAAAAAAAAAACCAACAAAACAAAAAAACCAAAAAATGAACAAAAATGAAGGAGCTGACAACAAAATCAAGTAGATTGAAGCCAAGTGAAAGAAATAACAATAACATTTTTAAGAATTCTTGCACTCTCCATTGCATGTGTCTTAATGAAAAAGTCAAATGGAGAAGAGCCGGTTTCATTTAAAATTCATTGAACATATATTGTTAAATCACATCTCTGTGATTGGAAGTTTGATACTATAGTATCCTTCAAGCTCTAATTTTTCAAATTTAGAGGGAAGATATGTTTTATCAACAGTTGTATTTCTCTTTAATAAAAATATCCAGAAACAGATTCAGCTGCTCTACTGTTGTTGCAGAACTCAAGAGTCTTGGACCCTACATTCAGCAGCTGCAGTCACTTTTTTATCTTTGCACACGTATCTCAGTGCTCTCTGCCTCTGATGGATTTTATGTTGAATTTCTGTGAATAATACAGTGCCAATTTAGCAATTTATTTCAGTGAAAAGTTCTCTTTTCTTTTTGCATTAAATTGCACTGTGACACTAGCATGATATCTGACATCTAGATTTTAAATACCATGAATTAAAATTTGCCTTGCCTGATTGTTAACTATGTGAACTTCCCTTGCTTTAAACCATGCCTTTGGAAAACAAGGTGTTCATCTTTTTAAAAAAGCAGTGTAGCACCGGTTTTCCTTTACACATTATCATATCAATGCTGTTATTTTAAATAAAAGGAAAATATCCAGAGAACTATTAATAAACATGGGTAATTTGATACTCTTATATCCTTCTTAACCTTCATATCTCCAAAAGCTCTGTGATTATTTTATGTATTATGTATGGAATAGTTATCATTCATTAGATTTCTAGTGCTATTGTAAATCAGTGGGATTAACTGCATTTTATGTTACAGCTGGCAACTTTGCATTCCTGACTCCTCCTGTGATTAGTGCCCTCTCAAGTATTCTTGGAATATTGAAAATCTGTGTTTGGTACATGTGGACCTTCTGAGAGAAAAGATTACAAACCTGGAATTTAAAATACAGTCCCCTTTAATCTGTGGTATGCAAAACAAACAGCAGGGATGTGCTGCTCTGAACACTTTGGTTGATCTCTCCTCTAGGAACAAAAATTTTCTGCATGGTGATACAAGGATGGTATTTCAAGCCCAGGCTGAGTGTGTGTCTCCAGTCCATTGGTTAAACCTCACTTCTTAGCAAATATTTCTGTTCAACCATTGCCAAAGTGAGGCAGACAGATGCTTTTGGGGTACTGCTATTGCTAAATATCCAAAGGATATGATGGAATTTAGTCCTTTGGCAAATATTCATTAAAAGGTGAACTGCTATTTTATAGGGATACTCTGATTCATGTAAAATAAATTTGACAGTTATATATTTGAGCTCAGTGGGGTTATGTCTATATTTTAGCAGTGTAAATGATAGAAGAATTTTCATCATAGTGTGCCATGCCAAATATATAAAAATAATTTCAAATTCTGTATGAATGTGGAGAGTTTTTTTAGTTCAATTTTCAGCAGTGCAATACAGCCTGAAACCCTAATTTTCAACCTATTTCTCCTGTGATATAAAATGAAATAATTCCTCCAAAAAAGAGCAATTTTTGTTTCAAAAGAAATGCTGCTTAGTCAGGACTAAAGATGGAGTCTTTTCCTTATCTAAGTTTGAACACATTTTTAAAGAATTTTCTTGAAAACAAATAATAACAGCAATAGTGGCAACTACTTCATGAAAGCTTAAAGACCAGTGTTTTCTTTTGTACCAAAGTAGGCTTTGTTAAAATATAATTATTATTGCCATATTCACAGATGCTTTTTGAGTGAATAGTTTTTATAGAATGAAAACATCCCCTGATGCATGGACAAGACTCAGCTGAGACTAATGATGCTAGAAGTTAGACATAGATGAATGTATTATAAAATACCTTTTTAAAAAAAAAATCCTTTAAAAAAATAATCTCCAATTATCAGGGTTCAGTGTCAAGAAATTTCTCTCTTCTCTTGCATCAGATCTAAATAATCTCTTGAGGTTATGTGCTGTAGCTTTTTAGGTGTGTGAAAGGTTCAAAAGCAACACCAGCTCTGTTACAAGCACAGGTGTTCTGTGCTTGTGCACCCCTAAGATTTGTGTTAGATAATAATATACATGTAAGTGCATAAACTGAAAATTCAGTCAAAGAGGATCAAGAATATTACATGACTGAATTATTTTTGGCTAAATTGTTGGGGATTATGCAGGGCTAGAAATACAAAATATATATTTGACAGTCTGAACACTGCACTTAAGACTAATGGAATCTATCAAGTCTATTTAAAGAGGTGCTTTTTAAGTCCTCACAGTAATTTTAATGTAAGCTTGTCCCTGAGAACTCAATTATAAATAGTCACAGTCAGTATTGGTATCTGATGTAATTAAAAGCTGAGTTCAAGTAGATTTGAGATAAGATATTTGGGGAGAATTTTCCACCTCAAAGGATAAATGGAAGGGGTTTTTGAGGGAGACTACAGAATCTCTGCCACTGAAGCTTTTCAAGAGAAGTGAAACACCAAAATGTCTAGAGTCCTCTGCCACCACTCCAGGCTACCTGAGCAGGGACCTTACCACAAGAATAATTCTCATTGTCTTGCTTTGTTCTTTTTACATTGTTAAGCATAGATACGGGTTATTTACCTTTATATTACAAATTTGCATCACAGAGATGAACACTTGTCAGTGTGTTCATTTATTTCCCTCTGTTTACACCCTACATAGACCCTTCAAAAGGTAGTTGCTGTTTGGAAAAACTGCACTGTGACACTTGTGTATGATTTTTGTACTTGCTTTGACTGATTTTCCACATCACCTACAGGACAAAAAGCAGACCATAACAAGTATAGCTATCCATTAGTGGAATTAGTGAATATATAATAATATATAATATATAATAAATATTCCATTAGTGGAAGAAAGCAGTATTAAAAGACAAAATCAGCAGGTAGATTATATTCAGTGGGATTATTATACACCCTGTAAAAGAGAAGGCAGTTGTACCTCCTTTTTTCTAACAAAGAAAGCAACAAGAGCAAACCATTCCCTAGCTGGGTTAACCATGATTTGTATTTTGTGTTAGCTATAAGCCCTTGTTTAGTGTTCCCTGTTACCAAAGGGTTCCTCTTGGTAACCTTGATACTGACACAGGGATACTGAAATGGAAACATCTTGATAAGAATGCTGGTGGTCAGCTTCAAGGGTGACCACAAGCAATTTCCAAGGTAAACCACAGTGCCATCAGCAAGAGAAATATTTCTTTGGACAAAAAAAGGCTCTGTAAATCAAACAGGTATTTCTCAACTACCTTCATATAACAGCCCCTATTAATGAAGCACCTATTAAAAAAATACGTATAAGGAAAAATGTTTTAGCTGTCATTAATTGGATCTCTATTAAGAAATAGTTGAAGCCACTGCATTTATAAGTGGTTGACTTCTACTGTTACCAATCTAAATGTTTATGATACAGCTCAGTACTCAATACAGTCTTCAAAAATGCAAGGCAGTCAGTGCTTCAAGACAGAGAGTGTTACTTCCCTTGTCAAGGCTGTAATCTGAGAATCGGTTTATGCAGTTTGTGACTCTTGTTACTTTTGTTAAACAGCTGGAGCATCAGAATTACTCAAAACAACTCCACCCCTAGAATCAGTTGCAGAAGTACTTGGGGGGTCTTCCCTGGGTTACACAGAGGATAGAAATAGAAAACCTACTGGTGACTACCTCAAGGACTCAGCTGCTCTCTCTTTTCCTCCCCTCTTTCTTTCCTATCTTCCACATGGCAATCACAGCAGAGGAGCACTCTCCTCATTACTGTACTTCTGGTGATAATACAGAATGTTTTGCAAAGGCTTCTCCTTCAGAAAGCTGGTCTTATTCTATCAGCAGAATCATCCTTACTGGCTTCCTCTCAACCAACCTGAATAAATTTGGGCAAGCAATTTCTCTCTGCTTGTCCCCTTTCACACAGCAGGGTATAGCCAGGCAGCCAAGCTTAGGCTGCAAAACTCCTTATTACCCACTATGAACTCTTATCTAGAATCTCTTTTAGTATGTGAAGATAACTGCATGTTTCAGGTATATTCTTTATAAAAGTGAGAAAAGGTTCAGCTCTCCTCTAGCCTTATAAAATACAAAAGGCTAATCATAATGATGATACTGAATAGTTTAGCAATGCATAGTTTGTCAATCCTTGACTTAAAGGATTAGTGTGATTCAGCTTGAAATCTGATTTAAAAGTTACCTTAGAATACCAAAATCAATACATGAAGAAGCACTTAAGCAGAAGAGCTTTCCTCTGATACACAATTTCCTAGTTATTTTTATCACATAAATATCTTTTAGAATTCAGTCCTTAGTACTAGAATTACTGTGTCAGCTGTGAAAAAAGGTGAACTTTAAAACAGACATTGCAAAGTTGATCATTTTAGATTGCTCACCTCATATATGTGAACTTGCTCATTTGTTACAGCAAAAATTAATAGTACATTGTTTTGCACAAGTTTGTCAATTAATTGTCCAATTGTTGGATACTCCTGCAAACAAACAAAAGAGAGGCACATAAATCTGTTTCTCATGTGCTTCCAGTTCCTGTCTCCCATGAAAGACACATTCAAGTGATCATAATGAGCACTTTGTTCTCTGTGTCGTATAAACTTTAATTAGGAAAACACATATACAAAATAAAAGATAGTACATATAATTTCCTGATGTTGTTTCTAAGGAACCCCCTCTGTGAAAAGTACAGAGCCAGATTCCATATTGGGGGCTTTGGCTCAGTAGCATCTGTGTTATATATACTTATTTAATCCAAAGAACTGCACTGCACCAATGGTATTTGTCCTACAATGAACACTATAGAGTATATATTCAGTATTTTTGAACGCTGAATCTTAAACTCGCAAGTTCTCATACAGTACCAGTGTCCTGCAAATTCCTGAACTGGTCCTGAATTCACACCCTTTCAGGGAACACAATTAATGCAAATCTTGCTTTCCCTGCAGAAGGAAATACTATTTAGTCTAATTCCATGGGCTTTCTTGTTGTAGAAATTGTATTTTTTCTTTCCCTTTTCTTAGTTATAATCTATCCTGATTCCATAGAAACACACTGTTCTCTCTTTACTGAAACATGCAGTTACAAATAAAATAGATTACATGAAATATCTGGATTCCCTAGCTTTTACACATTTCAGTGCTAAAATTGTAATTCACTGTTGCTTGTCTTAGTCTTTAAATTTCCAGAATGTGAGAGTGTACAAAATTTGTAGGTAATTACCTGAACAGTTGACATGGAATATTCATTATTGTGGTCCAAATGACAGTTCCCATCATTAGGAATAACAATCCCTGCCAGTTTACTGTCCATCCCAAAATGGGAATCAGCATCACTCACAAACACCAGCAAATGTAGAGAATCATTCCTCCAGCCAATTTTTTCCTGTCATTTTAAACACATCAGTTTAGCAAGATATATTGCATCACGACATAGAAAAACAGCAAAATATTTGGAGAACAGCATCTCAAAATGAATGAATAGCATCATTCTCAAGGAAGTATCAAAGACAACACATCTCCTAAGAGATGATTTTCATTCCATTGTCTTTGGCTAACATTTTGTTTCCCCATCCCTGTGTTTAATAACATGGGTTGGCCATGTTCATGTCAATCTGCTTACTACTCTAAACATAGTTAATAAAAAATATTTAAACAGAAAAACAGACACAGTAATTATACTGATATTTGGGCTTATTTGTCCCTGGCAATTAAAAGGAAACTTAGACTAAAATATTGCAATATGCATGTTTTACTTGTACAGCCAAAAGTATTTTCACACAAATTTAATGAGGCTCTTGGATTGTGTTAGTAATTTTCAAAAAATAATCTGTCACTTTGAAATACCAGCATATAATACTAGAAGAGATAATATATGGAATAATATATGTAGAAGTTACAATTACCTTGCAAACAGCTGCCTGCATAATTGCATCAAATCCTCCCTCTGGAGTGTCTATATTAGCAGAAATTCGCTGTCCTTTCACAATTTCGTTGAATTTTTCAGCATCATTTGTTAGTGGCAAAACATTTTTATATCCAAAGGTGGGTAAGCACTCATAGGGTACACTTCTGCAAGAAAAGTGAGACAGCTTATGGATAATAGAGAGTGAAAAATCACTGGAATGGCTGCTTCAGAGGGCTGCCTGGATTAGTTTTGGTCTTCTGTCTCTTGTCTCTGCCTGAGAAGAATTAGTGAAAAACCTACGATAATTAAAGAGCGTTCAGTGTCTTGGGCAATGGAAAAAATCTGCATAAAGGCTGGGAAATGCTTCCTGGAGCAGAGTAATTGAGCCAGTTCTCAACGTGCAGCCCTTGCCATGCCTCGTGCTGTGCCTTGATCTCATCTTTGGAAGAATATTGGGATCTGTAGCTCCTTAATGGCACTCAGAGACAACCACCAAGGTGCTGCAGTCCTGCTCCAGGTTGCAGAGCCCAGCTTCTCCCCTACACAGGTTAGCTAAGGGCTATGCCAGCCAGGGGCTGGGGCGATTGCTAGACCTTAAGGGGGGGGAAAAAAACCAGGAGAACAGCATTGATGGCTAAATGAAACTGGTATTCCATGTTGGGTTTGAGTTCGCAACTCCTTAGTGTAATTCATAAAATTCTTTTATATATATTCTAGAAAATTAAAGAAATTAAAGAAAAATACAAAACTGCATACCACATAGCTTTTTGTTAACATATTAAACACATTTGTAACTAGCAGCAAAAGCTAAAAAGCAGACTCACTACTAGATTCCTCTACCCTAATAACTTAAGACTCAACAGAAGGATCATCAGAAGGTGAAACTAAAAGAACCAAATCTTGTTCCACAAACTGACTCATTTACAGCTGGAGGAGGGGAGAGTTTCCAGTGAAGCTGCTGAAATTATCAGCAATGAAGCTGCTGAAATTATTTTAGCCTAAAGATTATGACAGTGTTGGCATGCAAACAGATGTTGGGATTTTCCCTGCCTACCTGCAAGGGTTGTTTATTTCTGCAGCTGTAGTTTTGATAAATGGTGAAACTGGTTTTTCAACAAAAGATCCAAACCCCAGTCTAAAGTTGCTTGTCAGTTTTGACATCTCTTTGGAAAGAGTTGAACCCAGTTCTTTGATTGTGTTCAGATCATCATCCATGGAGGCTGAAAGATCCATGAGGTAGTAGAGATCAATTGGATAATCTTCAGTCTGGCGAACCTTGATCTGTATTGTTTCTTCATGTCCTATTAAGGTCAGGGGAAAGTGAGACACATATCAGCATTTCTGTGCAGAAAACATGAGCAATCCCAATTTCTTCATAAACTTCAGTATGGTGACAATTATCTGGTATTTTAAAGCAACAGTAGCATTAACAAAAATATTTCAAAGATTGTCTGTCAACAAAAAAATCTCAAATAAGGGTCTGAAAAATTAAAAGTAGTTCTAATGTTTGGGTTTTTTTTAAACAGTTCTTCAGTAATGCCATAACCACAGAATTAAAACTGATTGCTATAATTTGAAAAACTGATTGCTATAATTTGAAAAAGTATGAAAACATCTCTTCAGCAGTATGCAGCTTTAGAAAATTTAGCTATGAAGCTAATTAAAACTAGAGGTAGCACTTTGGGGTCCTATCATATCCTTTAAAATTTTAAACAATGTCAAAGTGTATACAGAGATTTTATTCTCAGTTCCAACGTTTGACCTGACCTAACTGAATGTTTCTTACTTTTTTTGTTACAAATTTTCTCCAGGAAAAATTCAAATCTGAGGGACCCCAAGGTAGTTCTGGAATGCTACCATACATGCCACTGGTATCTTGTAAATCCTCAAAGCAAGATTTTATGTTGCCTCTGAGATACTCTGCCAGACCAGCAGGGGAGAGGCACGGGAGCTCAGCTGGGCAGGAGCCAGGGGTTTTCATTCTCTCCCTGCCACCTCACTGGCAAGAGAAGAGAGGAACTAAAAATATATATCCTTTTTTTTATGATGTACCCAGCACTTCTGAAAATATTCTGAACGCAGCTGAACCTAGTTTTCATGCAATGAGTCAACAGATAATTTTGGACTCAACACAGGTTTTCATCTTTATTCTGTCAAGATATTTTTGAGCTTGTTCAACCCAAGAAGCTTCAGTTTATCACACTGCCTGAAATTAACCTATGATCTGTGACTTACCTGGTCGCAGCCTCAGAGTTAATTTCTGGGGAGAAATCTGTGTGACATCAGAACTGTTTTTCTGGGATGATGCAGTTAGGGGATCGTTTTTGTGAATTTCTACTTCTGAAATGGGAAACTCAATCAAATTCAGCTGGCATCCTTTGGACAAAAGATTTTCCAGGGTATCACACCTCCCATGAATTCCAGACGAGTCTGTGTAATTCTAATGCAAACAGGAGAAGGAGGGATGAGTTAAATGTTTTTACTGACTAGCCACCAGCACCTGCCCCACAAAAGGTCAGTCCAACTCAGGGAATGGAAACAAAGGCACAAGTTTGTGCAAACTAGTGCAGAACTAGATATAGGTGGCACAGAAACCCAAATTTGCCCTTCATGGGTCATGTCACACAGATGTATAATTAATGTAACACACCGACTTGTTATCCTGGGAGAAACTGCTCTATTGTTGGGAAATGGGAATTGTGCCACTCACTGCATTTGGTTTCTCACAGTACTGGGAATGATAACACAAAGCCCCTCTGAGCCACTGGTTTTTCTATCACAGGATTATGCCACAAATTCATGAGTGTTTCCTATACAGTTTAGAACTGCAGATTGAAGCACATCATTCAATAAAAGAAGAAGTCTTGCTGATAATAAACTCCTGGACAACCTGTGACAAACAGATTGTGGGTACCCAGTGTTTGCTAGTTCTTTTTTTCTGACCTATACTTTCTCTTCAGCTCTCATTTAACCTGTTTACTGAAGCAGGCATCAAGTCCTTGTTCCTCTGCCTGGTGCCCAGCAGTGACCACAGCCTGTCCCCACTGTTCCTCAGCACCAGTGGTGCTCTCAGCATCCCCACACCTAAATTTGGCCCAGCATCCTCCTTGACCTTCTACCAGCCAGAGGAAATCAAAAGCCTACAGATATCAATTGGATATCTCACAGTTTATTGTCATTACTCAATTCAGAGCATTGATATGCATTCCTTTCCACAGCACTGCCTACAGGGTGGGTACTAACCTCACATGGTGGTGAAGTTAATGGTTACTTTTACAAAGAGGCTTCTGTGCCTTATTACCATTTCTCAGAGCTATGTCTATAGTTAAGATTCTCAAAATCAGTCAGGTGTGTCCTGGAAACTGCTCTGGCCTGCAAGCCCTTTTGACCAAAGCCTGGGCAATGCCTGGCAGAATCAGCTCTGAAACATTCAGTTCCTGGCAGAGATTCATGGGCCCATACCATGCATCTGCTCTTTTCTCCTAGGTCTGGGAAAGCAACCCATCGATCAGCCATTAAGCCACAAATATTCTCAGTCACTGAAAAACTTTCCATGCAAAACAAAACAAATTTACTTTAAACCTATTAAAAACAGAACTATGACCATTTTCCCACCAAAATATCACCCTTCATGCCTGAAAATTGTCTGGGATCTTATATATTTTGGTGGAAGTGTTGAGGCATCTGCTGGGAACAGTGGTTCATTATTCTCCAGACTGAACTTGATGCCTTTGCTCAGGCAAAACTCTCACCCACTGCTTCTACATAAATTACGTGTACCATTATAAACCTTTCACAGGGAGATCCATGTCGTCTCCTTCAGTTACACAGTTTGTAACTTTTCAAAATGTGTGAAGAGACAACCTCATATTTCAAATAATACAATTACAAAGTATGTTCCTATCCTACAGGAAACAGTTTCCTTGGAGTTGGTTTTGCTTGCTCTCACACTAAAGCTCCTCTGCCTTTTGCACGCTTGATCTGCTGTTTTTTAACAAAGAAATGAATGAGCTTATGAACAAAGAAGAAAAATCATGTTTACTACCGTGATGTTTTCAATAGTTCCACAGTTTTGTTTGGTTTGGTTTTGGGGTTTTTTAAATCAATAAATTATATTGGGCTCTTTTTTCCCTGAAAATACATGGCAGTAGTCAAAATTATGTGATCCAATTTCAACAAAATCCTGTTTTATAGTGCAGATATAAAAACTACTGCAAACACACTAATGTGGGGTCTTTTTTACCTCCATGGTAATATATTTTGCAAATGGCAAAAGACGTTTTTTTAGAATTTTTTTTAAAACATGCAGTTTTTTCTTGCTGAGCTATTTCATAAAGAGTATTTTAGTCCAATGCTGTGTCATATTGCTGTACCCAAAGCCAACAAAAACTATTAGCAGCAAAGGTACAATCCAGAAACAAAAATGAAAAAGACTTTATTTCTCTAATATTTCTGTCAAGTTTTTGTTGCAATAGCTGACTATCTTGTTAATGCTAATGAACTAAGAGCTAGAATATTTACTGCGAACTGGGGAGATATTATTTAGCACCATTTATAGGAGAAAGTTTTAAAAGCAGAAATGTGAAGTCACTTCCTTAGGGTGGCACTGAAAATCTGAAATAAAGGTATAGGAAACAAATCCAGATACATTTTTTAAGTCTAATATTTTACCAAAAAACACATCTATGTCATATGAATTATAAAGCCAACATTATTGTAACACTTAGAATCAACCACAGATTAATAATTCCTAGATGGAAGTTTTACATCTGCAAACTTTTACAGTGTTCATACCTGTAAACCTTCTTTTTACACTGTCTGGCTTGGCACACAATCTGTAAGACACAGTCTGGTTTCTGACTTTGTGTCTGGTGCTTCACCATCAGTGCTGGGGGTGAGCCAGCCCTGGGGCTGATGACCTGAGACCCCCCTATTTCTGCCTTAGATTTGGAAGATTGATGTTTTTGTGTTTTTTTCAAACAAGAAAACAATCAAACAAACAAACAAACATCCTAAACCCCATACTATGAATAACAGATCATGTAGAGTAGATTAAATTCCACTTCTGCTCCCCAGGAAGGCTTCACTAAGCGCTGCATGCATTACAAAACCCTAGGCTGACCCAATTAAGTCAATACTTCATCACCACTCAGAGTGACTACAAAGACTTCAAGTCTTACTTTGAAATTTTTTTTTATCACTCTACCTCTTGCAAACACCAAGCGCAGTGTGGTCCGGAAAGCAAACAATCTTCACAAGTCACTGTGCTTTCCTGAGAACAGGTCCCTGAATTTAAATCCAAGAAGATAAAAGGCTGTTAATATTATGCTGAATCATTCAATTTATGAAGAAACTTGTCATTTAGAGAATGTGGGTGGTGAAAAATGCACATATTTAGCCATATTTAGGATTACTGATAAAATTTCTTCTTAACAGTAGTTCTATTGGTAAAAGATTAACTCTCCAATAAAGATTAAAACCTCAGAATTGCTGGCAATTAACATACCTCCTTTTGCGTGCTTTATGGGTGGCATTCACTTAGAACATGTTCCCTCCAGTGCACCTGATAGAATGTTACATGTGTTTCTGGTATGGTGTAGGTAAGTCATTTCCCATATACACAGGGATATTAAAAGAACAGATTTATGCTCACTCTGTATGCTTAATATTGCTTCACTCAGCTCTGTAGATACTTGATATGATTTTTGTCCATTGTGTAACTACCAGAGGAACACTCAGCCATATGTATAATAGGAAAGATTCTTAGCAGATCAAACTGTGATTAATGAAAACAAAATTGCTCAAATGTCTGTCTCTTTCAAACCTGTTGTGCTATGTAATAACCACCAAATTGTAGATGAAATGGCAATGCAGCCCTACAGCAGCCTGTCACATAAAGGTCATTAAATAGAAAGGAAAGATTTTAAATACAGAAGGCAGAAAGCTATTTTGTGTCAACTTCAAGCAAGAAACAATGCAAAATGGTTTTGAAATTGATCTCCCTGCCCCTGAGCCTTACCTTGCACATAGTTATTTCTTTGCAGAAATAGGAAACAGAGGCAAAGCAATTCAATCCCCATTCGTTTTCAGTGCTGGCTGCATGACAAAAAATAATAGCTTGTTAATTATGGTCTGCATAAAGGTAGAATGTCGTAAACCCCATGCATTCCTGGAGGGTATGTTTTCAGATGTCACGTACACCGGATCGCGAGGAAACTTCAACCCCAGCGGGACGGACCATGAACAAAAGTGAAAACAAGAACTACCTGGGCAGGTAGAGAGGACAAGCTGTGCACACAGTAACGTGAACATGGTTATCACTTCCTTGTTTTCCTGGACTCCTTATAAGGCATACGGGGAAAATTCATTCAGGTGAGGATTTCTGTCCGTCCCAGTCACTCTGGGTCCTAGAGCAACCCAGCCCAGAGACCATGTTTGCGCTGTGCAACAGCCCTTCTAAAGCTCCTTCAAAATAACACCTTTAATTGTGCCCCAAGGGGAGATGGATCATTAAGATTGCCAAGTGAGTATACCTGGAGGAAAGAAAAAAATCCCGGTTTTCAGATATCCTGATATGGAGGGAATCTCATAAAGGGAATTGTGAAGGAAAAAAACCCCAACCTAATCACAGATTAAAACTGAGGACTTTGCTTCAGTACTTCAAGATACCAGGTACATTGATTTTATTAGCATTCCAAACTGAAAGGGAAATGCTGCAGTTGTAGATTTTTTTAATATATAGAATGGGGAATAATTTTATTCCCAGTACAGCAACTGACTTGAAAAAAGAATCATGTCAGCCTTAACTCTGCCAAATAAGTGGCCAGATATTCTGCAGCACAGAAACAACTGCATAACAAGTTATTGCTATCTCTCCTCCATCTTCCCAGCCTGAAATGAACACAAAATACATATTTCTTACCACCTTATTAAAAGGAAACAAAATTCCATATTTCCGGATTTCATGTCCTCCCATCTTTTATGCTCTGCTATTGTCTGTTTTAAAAATAATTTTTTCAAGATGAGTCCTGTCTTTTCATAAGGATTTACAATAGTCAAAGTAGGGATGGGTCTGTATTAGTTAAATTCAACATGCCTGAAACATTCCTGGGCATTGAGGCCAACTGGCACAGAAAGACTTGAGTTTATGATTGCAAAGTACCTATTGGGACCATTCTAGCAACCAAATTGTGCCCAGAAATTGTTTGCAGTGAGTGTAGATTGGAAGAGGTCAAATTAATGCCAGGGAGCATTTTAACAGTCTAATAGCATAGACAATCTCATTCTAGTGCCTGGAAATATTCCCAGGCACATTCAATTTTACTAGTATTTACACAGACTATGGGTAGTTTGAATAGCAACTCACTCTGGATTACATCAGAACCACCTTTGCTCTGCCCTTGTGTTCCCACCCCTTTGCTCTCACTAGTCATCACTCGTGTCCAAACACGCCGTGTCTCAAACTGATCCAACCAAAACCCAATCACCTTCTGTGGGGAGGGTGGAGGGCTGGTTTTCATCTGGCTTTGTCCCTTAAACCCTGTGGCTACTCAGTCCAGATTCAAGGCAGAACTGGCAGGAAAGGTGAGAATATGTTAGGCCAAATTTATCCCAGTTTAGGCTGTTGTGGAACTGTATCTTAACATTTCTATTTACAACAACATTCCTAAATCTCCTTCAACTGCTCTCTATGCCTCAGAGTGCCCTTTGTAAAGCACTTGCTCAACTACAGCAATTCTATGTGGCATGAAAAAAGCATTGATTAGATTATGTTCCCTCAGTTTGTGAAGACACAACTCTGTGAGAACACTCTATGTAATTACATAAGGTCAAAAAGAAGTGGAATCAACCAAAAGTGTTTGCCCTTGCTAAGAAAAACATCCTCCTGTAATATGGCACTCAAATATCCTACTTCCCTGGGTCTGACTGACATTTGTGTATGTGTCCTTTAAGAATGTTACTATATCTACAGTCTTGCAGCTCCCCAAAACCCAGTGCTTTCTCTTTCAGTGTAGAAGGTCACCTTGTAGCTCTTATGGGCTACTGGCCCTTGGTAACAGCAAAACTTCAAAGCCCAGGGCTCGGTGGCAGTGCTTCAGCCACCAGCAGTGTCTCAAACTAAGGACCAGCCAGCTGAACAGCTGGCAATTAGCAAACACTTATTCTTGGATTCAAGATATCAAACTTTGAAGTGTAGAGAGAATTAATAATACAACCTACATAAAACTTACAAATTCTGTTTGATATTATCAGTTCCCCACTTGCTTGTGAGGTAATATTTTATATAGGTCCTGGCAAGAATAGCGCGGTTGGAGGCTAAGTGCCTGCCTCTGAGTGAGGTGGCTGCCAAAGACTATCTGAATTAATCCTTTCCTTAATAAAATAGCTAAGTTTCTGCAAATTATTAGGAATCCATTAGATTATTAAGAGATCTATTAGATCTCCCTGGATTGTGTGGAGAGAGCAGAGAAGGAAAAGAAAGTAGCAAAATAAACAACAACAAAAAACAGACAAGGAAAAAAAATTGAGAGCAGGAGCCTAAGAGAGGTCTTGAAAGAGAGACAGAGTGCACCGAGAGTAAACCTTGGGCCAAGTAAGAATACCTAGACAGGAAGCAGACAGATGATTCTTGCTTTGAAATATCACCTGTGCAAATGAAAGGTAAGTTGACCAGGAAGTTCCTCTACTAGATCAATGCTTTGTTTGCTTTAATTATCACTAGAAGAGTAAAATCTCAATCTGGAGTAGCCATGCTGATGTGGGAAGGATTTGTAAAATGCTTTGGGGTCATGGCATTACTTGATTTGACAACAGGGTTCCTTCCCATTCTTCACAAGGTTTGTAATACAGTCTCGCATCACCCACCCAAATTAAAGACATTGGTTCAATGAGATACAACAAAAATGAAGTTTATAGTACAAAAAGAACACAATTATGATTGCTTCCATCAGCCACTATATAATTTCAGAGCAAGTTCTGGTCTCTATTAAATCAGAGTTACAGTTTTTAAATGACACATCAGAACAGAAAACAGCTGTTTATCATTCAGTGTAGGCAATGCTGAACAATGCAAATCCTCTCTCCATTCCCGGCACAAATATAGCCTGACCTCTCAGCTTCACACACAAGCCAGCTCTTGATTCCCAGTGATCTAGTCATACACACTCACACCCTGAAAGCCTGGAAAAACATGGAACAATTTAAAGTCTGAATGTCCCCCAGCTGAGATGATTCTCAATATTTACAAAGGTGCAGGGAGGCATCTCTTGCTCTTGAGAAAAGCTTTCTCAAGATCATGAGGTAGAATCTCCCTTCTCTCCACCCTTTTCCTACTCATCAGTGCATCTGGGAGAGGCAAAGGGCTGCACTCCTTAGGTCAGAGGCAGGTTGCTTTGTACTTGAATCATCTGGTGACTTTATTCTCTGTCTGATTGGCTTCCCAATCAAATCCTCAAAGCTTCTGACAATCTCTAGCAGGGAATCAAAGTAGACTTTAAGGCTTAGTCAAACTTTTTAACCTGAAAGCAAGTAAGTGAAGATTCTACAGAAGTCTACAGGTTTAAAAACACTTCTCTCCCAAAGAAGACATATGTTCCATAGCTGCAAAGTCAAGTGCTTCCATACTCTTGGGCCAGCAGAAATGGAAAGCATTTGCTCTGGAAAGTCTGCACAGAAATATATGTCCCAGCAGCCTGACAGACCCAGTTCCAAAGAACAGCAATGGCAGATGTTTCAGAGGATGCCTGTCAGTTAGCTAAACAATGAAGGCTGAAAAAGTTTCTAAGCTTGAAACTTTGATTCATCTTTAAGGAGCTAGAGATGATGTGAATATCCACACAGTGGTGTGAGAGCTCTGCACACAGGGCAGTCCAGCACAGACAGAAGCCACACACAAGTACTGCACAGACGCTCCAAGGACTGCTCTGTCTCTGTCTCTACTGCAGTACAGATCTGACAATGCTTTAGGGAGAACTGGCAAAAGCGTTTCAAGAGGAAGCAACAATCCCGAACAAACAGTTGTATTTAATGAGGAAATTCACAGTGAAGGTGAAAGTGACAAATCAGCAAAATCAGAAACTTTTGCTTCTTTAATTATTTTGCTGCTTTTGGTTTTTTTTAGTTGATACATCTGCTCTGTCTTTCTTTATTAATCATCATGATGGGACATGGGTATTGCTCCAACAGAAAATTACATCCATTCAAAGAAACTGCTGTAAGCATTTGAGTCCTGTATGAGTGACCTGGAGCTTGCTGAAAGCAAAGATCTGAACATACAGTGATGGAGCTCCTTCATTCCAGCTCCTGTGTTTTGGGGTGTACCAATGTCATATCCCATTAGGATATGATATTAGTATATGCTAATATACTAATAAAACACTGCCACAGAGCCCAGAGACATGTGGTCTCTCCTACCCTCCAGGTGCTGTTTGCAAGCATGGCTACACATGATGGAGTGCAGTTTTGGAGGAAGAGGGGGGGTGTCTGTAGCCTCTTCTGGAGGGTCACAGGAGAAGGAGAATCACGAAGAGGAGAGGAATTTTCCCCTCCAGCTCTGAGCAAAACAAGGTGTTGGGAATTGGTGACTCAGGTTGTGATTCATGCTCTGGTCTCCTGTTGTTTCCGGAGCCGTGTGCTGCTGTTAGAGGAGGGCAGGGAATGAAGTCAACAACCTGAATCTGAGCAAGCAGAGGGGCAGAGGAGGGAGGAGGGACTGCTCTCCAACTGTACAGTGAGCAGCAGGCAGGAAACTCAGGGTATTTTCATCTTGTATTCACCTTGCCCACAGCTCTGACCTGGCTGGTTCCAGCCAAGGGCATGACGAAACCTTTGTTCTCAGGTTTTTTGGCATGGGTGAGCAACGTGAAAAATTTGTTTGCTTTTCAGATTTGAAAACACTCTTACACTCAAAGAGAAATTATCAGACCTCTGAACTGCAGAAGGGCTCAGGTGGAACTCGTAAGGAAATGGAGAGGGACAGCCAACCAGCCCAGGACACTCAAATTATGCCAGGGAATTCCACACATCCCATCAAATCTCACCTTGGTTTTTGTTTGCTTTTTTTGGTTACATGGCACCCTTT